CAAACCAGTTTGATCACAATTCATCACAGAATCCAAGTCAAACTCAGAGCCTTGTTCCTTCATCATCAGATGCACCATGGATTGGTTCTTCTGCTACTACTACGTCTTCTGATCTCTATAAAATCAATCCCAGTACTAGTTCTTGCTAATGTAAATGCTAGGACTCAAGATTTCACGTTGGAAAAATAGCATATCCTAGAGTGGTTTACGAGCTCTTAAACATTAGTTTCTTACAAGTTGATTTTTAGAGGCAAGTTCTACCCATGAACTCTTCACAATAAGCATTTCTTCGCGCTTAACTACGCAAGTGCTCGTGTAATGATAAACTAACTAGTAGTAGTACAATATATTTTCAAATAATAATATTGGGTTTTTGCAAATACATAAAGATCAAGCTCAATCTCTATGTGACAAAGCTGAGCAAAGTGGGGGAAAAAGGCATGAATTTTTAAGTGATTCAAAGCCCTTCAACTTTTACGTACGATACAATTGTCAAGATCAATCTGTCAATTCCACTTGGCATGGCATGCATCGGTTTCAGTTCTAAGGAATTAGAGCTGGGAGAGGAAAGTTTGAACACCTCAAACTCGAAGGGAGAGCTTTTGGGTCAAATTCCGACTTTTGCATGTGTTTTGGATTTGGAAATTGCAATGGTTCCGGTTGAATTGTTTGACCCGACCAATGATTTTGACTTTTTTTTTCCTACTTAAATAACAATACATTAATTATTTTAGATTAACAATATTTTATCAATAATTGAGCAAGTCATTATCTTATCAACTTTCCAAAGGATAAGGTTTGCCATGCACAATTGACCTCTCTTGTCCATATTTTTGCTATCAAGAAACTCAATCAGAAATAGTATAAAACTTCCCACCAGTATATTACTATTTCTGATTACTTAGCTAAATTTACTTGATGGCTTGATGGCTTGATGGCATGGCTTAGCATGCTACACATGCATGCATCATGCTCTCACATCCTGTTTCAGTATAAAACAGACCAGCAGTTCAGAGACTAATTATGTATATTTCCCACAGAAAATTCAACCACAGACTTTATATATATATATATGTATGTATGTATAACGTAGCCAATGAAATTATTATTATTTGTTTTGTTTGACTTCTTATTACGAGATCAGAAATCCTCCCCGGACCATATACGTTTTAGCTTAATCAGTTTATTATTTTTATGAATTCTGTTTCTTTAAATAATAATAAGAAAGTGGGAGCCTGGCGTGGAACTAGCATTATTGAATAAATATTAATATTCTTCTGACAAGACAATTATGATCGAATTTGGAAACAAATCAGAGCTGGGCAGGTGAAGGTCTAAGGCTATACAAAGCTGGGCATTTCCAATCTTGGAAACAAATCAAACGGCTCACTGCCAACTCGAAATGGGTATATGACATTAACCCATTAATTAATCAAGAGCAAAGAAATTAATCCGATATTGGGTAAAATAGCTCTCTACTAAGAACGCGTAAGAAGTTTTTACGTAAAGTTATTTCTTGTGTGTTCGATTTTTCCTTATCTCATGATTTTTCGTATAAGAAATAAAAAATGGTCTATAAAAATGGAAAGGAACAAGATTAAGGCACATGTTAAACAAATTGGATACTAATCAAAGGGGTCCATGTTGTCAAATTTCACGTACCAAACAAAGATTCGAAAACTTTTCATGGGCCCCAACAAAAAAAAAAAACCTAAAAAAAGAAATGGAAAACTTTTCATAGTCAAGGAAAGCAAAACACCTCCCTCGACAATAATGTAATCAAACCGGCCAACTAGGTAGTTCGAAGTCAGAGACATAATAAAATTGTACACGCACATTAAAAGTCCATTGGCTCATACGGCTCAGAGACCCTTCATTAACTACAGAGATTGAGACTGAGATTGAGCCAAGAAAGAATAAGGATGATACAGATATCAGGGAATTGATATATTACATCAGGGATTGAGATGGCAAGATTTCATTTTGATGTTTCAAAAGCCACCATGGACCTTGTCATTTTGGTAGCCATGTTGGTCCTCTGCTTCTGCATATCCACAGTCAAAGTTGAAGCACAATCTCTACGTCTTGCTTCTGCAGAAGGTAATTACTGGCTCTTCTTCTTCTTCTTCTTCTTTTTTCAAGTTGGTATTGCTGATACTCAAAATCTATGCACTAAAGCCTCAGTTTTTGTTTTTGTTTTTGTTTTGAAAAAAATGAAGCCTGGGGTTCTTTTGTTTTTAAGTGGTGTTGAACAGCAGAGAACAGAGTGCTCAATGCAAAAGTTGGTCTGTTTGATTGAGAATTGGTAGAAGATTTTAGCCTTTCTAGTGTTACTGTGTTAGAGCACTCCCAGTTCAATGTTTGTCAGTATAAACAAAAATTAGAACCCATATAATTTTACATGTTGGTTAGATTAGATATAAACTTACAAAAAAGATTTAAAAAAAGAAAGAACTTGTTGTCATCCTAAATTTATATTGATTCAAAAGCATAAAGTTTACAACTTTATAATCGAAAACGAAATGAAAAAAGCTAAAGAGTTGGACCTGATTTTTTTTCTTTCATCATTACAACTGGATATGGATATGAAATTCAATGATTGAGAGAGATACAGAGCATAATCTGCACCTTCTAGAGATGCTTACTAGGTTAGAATGGTGGATGGCAGAAGGCCCAAGCCCAATCACTATTAGTATTTTGGCATCAACATTAATTTGGGCCAATATCAGGCTCAATCACTCTACTTTTCTTTAAAAAAAGAAAAATAAACTCGGCTGATGCATACAAAACACAGAAAATGGAAAAAAAATAAAAAGATTCATGATTTGATTTGTGTGCGCAGTGGAAGCACTAAAAGAAATAGCAACACAAGTGGGAAAAAAAGACTGGAACTTCAGCATAGATCCATGCAGCAATGATACAAATTGGGCTACCCCAAAATCTGCTGACTTGCCTTTATACAACAACACTCTCATATGCAACTGCTCCTACCCTGATGGTTTCTGCCATGTTGTCAGCATGTACGTCAACTGAAA